ATCCTCGCAGAATGGCTGCGTGATATTTTTTTTTTTGGCAAATTGAAAGGCCAGAGAACGGAGAGATTTCAGAGTAAGTCCATAAAATCGTAAGTCTAATGCCTTACAATGATCCACTATTTGTGCCTCCTGTTCTGAGGTGAATACAGCACGAAACCGCCCCAAAGAACTCACACCGCTACCAGATTTAAGCCTCTTCCAAATAGTTGACTCATCATAGCCAAGTGTTCGTCGTATTTCCCTTATTGATAGGCCTCTGTCACGCATCTCCCCAACCTGTCGGAACACATCTTCAGTTAATGGTTTCACATTATCCTTTTTTCTTTTATATGTCCTAAAACAATAATAATTTGTCATTATGAGTACCTACCACCAGCAATTATTTCCCAGACCAGAATATACATACAATGGGGTAAACATCCGCAGTAGAGGGGGCACCGTTGCCCCATGTGAAATGCGGACTTTTACCCCAAAATGCATAATTGTTTTTGGCAAAAATCTACTAAAATAACATAACCTCATGTTAATATGTTTTATGTTAGAAATGTTCTCTGATATTCGGGCTTTTCGTAGGACATCAAAGACTCGTTATCAAACAGTCTAGGGATTTATAAGCTCTATAAAGATATTCAAAAAAATTACATTGGGAGAAAAAAATGCAAACTTACCTCATTATTGCTTTTATAAAACATCGCACAAAGCACGTGTGTGTTCAGTTCGTGATTACTGAGAATACTGAGCGCATCATACTTTGGTTGGTTTAATATAACCATAGATTCTTGAGTTAGAAGCCTGCGGACTTTTACCCCGAGCGGACTTTTGCCCCCGACTACCCTAGTACTGGGCCGATAACCTGATAAAATATGTGGAGGTTGTGGCCAAAAGGGATGATTTTTAGGAGCAGGAAATAAAAGTCGCGTATTCGATTCGATCAATATCATCGTACTGACGTATCTTTATTTTGCACATAGTTGCCAGATATACAATATTATAACTTAATGTTATTATTAACAGATGGGGCTAGTGTCAGTGACATCGAAAAAAGTATTTTTCATCTATTTATAACAATTCGAAGGATTGCTGGAAAAAACTGGTTCTTGGCGGCCCAAAACAGGAACCGATGGAAGCAGATGGAAGAAGCCTATGTCCAGCAGTGGACGGAAACAGGCTAGAAGAAGAAGAAGAAGACTCACTCGCAGAACTTCTAGCGATGGACGTATTGTATGTACGATGTATTTCCTTCCAATATTTCAGATTCTGTACTGCTTATATCAATATTTCCGGAGGTGTCAGTTACAGTTTTGAATTTAAACAAAGCCTCTGTCTCCAAAATATTTTTATTGCCGCTAAGTGCAACTGATGTAATGATATTTGAAACCTTCTCTTCGATTGCTGGAAGATCTTCGGGTGGAATGAAAGGTGGTGGGTATATGGTACCAACCATATACTTTTTTTGCTCACACTGTCTTGATTTAATGTTTTTTTCCCAGCTTTATAAAAACAAATCTTTAACAATGAACGGATCTTCTAATCAACTATATTTTTATTCAGTAAGGTTTCAGGGATGCTTCCACTATTTACTTACTTTTCTCCATTGTTTCCAATCTTTGGAAGGACCATTCGGAATAATATTCAAGAAATTTCCTACCTCCTCCCAATTTTTGATTGATTTGATCTCTGGTATACATTCGAGTTGATTTTTCGGTATACATTTCTCTTCGGGAAGTAAATAAATTCGACTAAAATTTCCTTTTGTTTTGGTGTAATCGGATTCGATTTTTTTTTTGTTGATTCTCCATATTACTCGATGATCGGTAGTATGTATATCAAAATAATTACTTTATCACGAGAACACTGAATGATGTAAATTTTTGAAAACCAATAATAATAATAGTTATTTATCCAACACGTGACAGCTATGACTGTTATTATCAATGTCATTTTAGACAAATAAACTATCAAATAACACACTAGTGTGTTATAATCCATAACTCACTAGTGAGTTATGGATTATAACTCACGTTCATATTTGAAGTAGTATTCTATTCATTTATTACTATTACAAGCAGAATTCGCACATTGATATTGAAATTAAAGGAAAACGTTAACGGTTTATTCGAATTTGAAGTCATTGTAAAATTCGTTGGTCTACTGGAACCAGATGCTCCCATATCGGTACAGCTGCTAATAGTGCTGGAAGACGCCGAAGCATAAAACTTTTTTTTTTTTTTTATTATCTCATAAAAAAACGATTTCTTCCACTTGTTGGATAAAACATTGTATGCCACTCGTGTGTTATGTTTCCTAAGTCACTTGAGAATTTATAGCACTCATCCTGACGGCCTCATGGTATAAATCTTTCTCGCGTGGCTTATTTTCAACATAACACACTAGTACCATAACATTATAAAATCCTGCCAGATTTCCTGGTACTTCACGGGAGGAGATTGGTGAAGGCTGGTAGCTCTCATGGGGATGGAAATGAACTGGAAATATATCCGTGAAAATCTTAGTTACAAAAAAAACAGAACCTACTCGAGCGGCGGGAAAGAAATCCCCAGTCACATCCCACGCAAAATTTAAAAGCTTTACAAATAGATAAGAAAATCAAACGAACTTACCTAAGTGATGTGCGATCTTAATTATATGAAGACCTCGTCGACCACGATTTAAAAAAATAATAAAATAAAACATTAACTCATTAAAGATTTAGTCTTCGTCAGCATCGGACTCTTCATCAATGGCTGGTTTCGTTAAATTGTCCCTCACCATGTGATTTGATTTCAAGGAACCGTAAAAATCATGGTACGCTTTTGGTATTGTTAAATCCTTACACATTTTATCCAGGTCTTTCCATTTTGCCGCGCTGGGCCTTTTTTAACTCGGCTTGTTTTGGACGGCCTCTGGTTTTTGATTTGGTGTCTGGTTTTGTTAATTTACCGAGGCAGCAAAGCTTTCTCCAGGGAATGCCATTGAAATTGAAGGAATTACTTTTTGACAGTCTTTTAAAATCGAAAAAGTCATAAAACACCAAGGACTTCACAGCAAAAAGGCATGGTGTGATACGTGCATCTCTTATTAGTTGGGCTCATCCCTCGGGGATATAAACCGGTACATATTTTGCTTTTTTTCTATTTTCGAGTGAATGGAGTCGCACTCCATTGCAGTGTGCCCTGTTTCAAAAAAGCGATGATCAATTATTTTCAATGATGGATTTTTCGCAAGACGTTGGATGCACATGGTTGCAAATATTGAATTTTTTTGCTGGCCTCCACAGCCGTCAGACATATGGACAGTTTCTATTTTAGGATCGCTCATGATAAAATAATCTACACAATATGCAATTTCGTTAGCGCCTCGTTTTCCCTTTGTTTCGTCCCAAAGGTAGCACATAATATTTTGGTTACCCAAATTGTAAATGGTAAAATTGTACATAGCTAGTTTTCCTAAATAAAATATTTGTCCCGCGGATCCTTTAGGCGTTGTCACGACTGCTTGCAAATCGAAATTGAAAGACAGAACTTTAGCATTCTCTTTTGCTAGTAAATTATCCTTATCACGGGCTAGTCCAGCTCCACTTTTCCTTTGAAATGTTTTTGATACTCTTCTTTTTCTTCCTTTTTCTCTTGTTCAGACATTATTTTTGTTTGTCAAACATTTCCGACACTAGTCTTTTTTTGGCTTGAAGAAGCTTAAGTTGAGAGAATATCTGGCGATATTTTCCAAATATAACAATTTTGACATTTTCAGTGCTGCACAACTCTTTGTACTTCTTGTACATTATCGATGTATTGAGGGATGAGTCAAGGTATTTCTTTTTACTGGACTTACGACAATAATACGATTCTACCGCTGGAAATGATAGAATCTGGTCTCGTATGAATTCTTCAACACCCTGGAGTAATTTTTTTTGGGGTTGGTGTTTTCCGCATTTTTTTTTAACTAAAACTCCATTGGATGAGCGCTTGTTTATGCACTTCGCATAAAGGCGTCTGTCAATGTGGCCATAAGAAATTCTCTACATACTGTGAGTTTAATTCCATCAACTGTAAGACTACAAACGCAAGTGTAGTAGCCGTAAATCCACGCCAGCAAAAAATGCGAAAATAGTAGTGTAACAACACGGGTTTCACTACAAAAATCCGAACATAATCTCAATCTTGCATTCTTGACACAAAGATGGATGCGCCGAAAATACTGTCATGGCGCCATCTGTCAAACGTCATGGTGCCAACTGTCGAGAGTGGCGTGAAGTTGTGCAACAATCAATCCACAAGAATGGGAACGAACTTGACACGCAATGAAAAAACTCTGCATCATTCTAATGTATGCATTATTATTTTTTACCAATTATATTGCTTAAACCAAATACATATTTGAGTAATATTTAAAAGATCAGACTGATAAGATCAAATTGTAGGTACATGGGTAACTGTTCAAATTGAGACTTTTGGGACACATTGGACTTTTCAGTCGGAGCTGTTCTAAGCAAATTATATGTTATTGATAGTTTGGTTCATTTGTTTTTTTTTTTTTAAATCTTATCTATTTAATCAAAACATTTGGCTATTTTTTCAAATATGACATAACGAGTGTATTATGCATTTGTTATTTTAAGTCAAACTACCGCGGTTGCGGTTGATGATGTTGGCTCCACTTTTTCTACTGCGGTTGGCGATGTTGGCTCCATTTTTTTCTGCTGCGGTTGATGATGTTGGCTCCATGTTTTCTACTAGGGAGGGTTGAAAATCTTCTCTGCAACCTTCGACGTGCTCCTCGTTGGAAGCGTCTTAGTTGTGTACCTTCAAGTCTTCTTTAAAAAAAAGGTGAAATTATTCAGTGAAGTTTTTATTCAGGAAAACTGAATGAATATGAAATGGTAGGTATTTGCTGCCAGGGCATTTTGTCAAGGGTTGTCTTTGTGAAAAACATAGATGCCAATATTAGGCTTTTCATAGACTGTAGACAACAGTATTTTTTTTTTTTTTTTCAATTTATAGCTATAGTCAGATATGAAGTCCAATCTGCTGACACTGTTTATATAGCTGATATAATAATGCGTCATGAAACATTTAGAAGGAAAAAAATCAACGTAATTAGTAATGAAGATCATTAGAACGTTATCGTAAACATTTAGTCAAACTATATTTCAAGTAATAAAGCTTAGATTATTGCAATGTATCAGGAAATTTTTCCATCGATTGGTCACGTTTTTGTTCTCCCATAATAATTATTATGACCGTACCTATTGGAAATGTTGTATTTTCTTATCAAGATGACTAACATAACGAATGAGTAACAGACTAGTGCCAAGAATAGCCAAAAATAGAAATCCCTCAAGCAGGTTAACTTTAGCTGAAGCTCAATTGAAGCTATTAGTGCATGAAGGTGCTAACTCACTTTTTAACAATTTTGAAATATTTAGATTTAAAGTAAAATTGTTGGAGCTTTTTCCGTTTAAACTTAAATTAAAATCAAGATGCATCAATACACAGTCAAGAAATGTAAATTTAATATTACGGGTCAGCTTTCATCATTTTTTATGTTTTTTTTTTTGTTTATTTTTAAATCAGTAGTTAACCCCTTCTTGCACAATTTTGAAGAGTTAACACCTTCTTGCTCCAAATAAGTTCGACAAAACTTGAGTTAACGCGATTTGAACTTTAGCTTTTAAGGTACCTGGCGACATCTATGATCTAAAGTCTTTACTAACGCAAAGAATGATTTAACACCTTCATACATACCATTTTTTGGGATTTCAGCTAAAAGTTGAGTTAACACCTTCATGCACTAATAGCTTCAATTTAGAAATATAATAATCATTTCTTTTATTGTCAAATAAGTTGAAGCATAATTAAGTTTACAAACTACACAAATCTGGAGACTGAACTATGGCCAATAAAAGGCACAGTTCGCATTTGATTCACTGACGCCACTGTTACGAGTGCGAATATTCAGTTATTGGCTTCCATGGAGTGATTAAAATAAATAAAAAAAATTCAGGTGCTTTCTCGAGATTTCTCGATTGAATCGTTTTGCATATGTAGAATTTGTTTGTTTATTTGATGAGCTTATTTTCATCTATTTGCTTGCATGTTATTGCAAAATTTGAATTTGTCACAAGAAAAAAATAATTTCAGAAAAAGCCTAATATTTGCATCTATGTTTTTAACAAAGACAACCCTTGACAAAATGCCCTGGCAGCAAATACCTACCATTTCATATTCATTCAGTTTTCTCAAATAAAAACCACTGAATAATTTCACCTTTTTTTTAAAGAAGACTTGAAGGTACACAACTAAGACGCTTCTAACGAGGAGCACGTCGAAGGTTGCAGAGAATATTTCCAACCCTCCCTATTATTGGAGAAAGTTCACGTAAGGATGACGAAGATGCCATAGTAGAAAACATGGAGCCAACATCATCAACCGCAGCATAAAAATGGAGCCAACATCATCAACCGCAGTAGAAAAAATGGAGTCAACATCATCAACCACAACCGCAATCGCGATAGTTCAACTTAAAATAGTAAACGTATACTACACTCGTTATGCCATATTTTAAAAAAAGCCAAATTTTGTGATTAAATATAGAGACTTCACAAAAAAAACAAAATGAACTAAACTATCAATAACTTCTCCGGAGAGCCACGGGACCTTGTCGTTGGTGGAGAGGCTCAGCGGCCGTACGTCGTTGCAGAGATGTGGGGACGTTTGGTCGTGACCAAGGGTGGCTCCATACCAGGAAAGCACACACTTAGCATCCCGGTATGCTGGGTGTCTGCTAGACAAACAGCGTGGAGGAGGACACTCGGCTCAGCCTCAGCCCGCAATCTGGGTCTCGCAGCCTTGTTTCGGGTTGGGACTGAGTGGACTGCCCTCTGTGGAAACCTGCCTGGTATATCTCGCGCTCTAAGATCGGTGGTTGATGAGGAAGCATCTTAGGGCGTGAGGGCCTGCCTTAACCGGCCGGCCAAGTGGAAGGCGAACCACAATAAAAATCCCTCCAAGTCACGGTGGAACAGCATAGGCCAAGGACTGCGTGGTTAGGGGAAAGCCTAATCGATACTATGCGAACTCCAGGGATGTGGCGACCCACGGCTTAACTAGCGCGACCGGGGCATGCGGGGCTCTGCCTCGGCTGTATGGATTACTTCCCTAGCTACTCGTGGGACCTAGCATGAATACCAAACAAAAACCAAACAAGGCGAAGGATGTTTGCGCCTCAAGCACATCCGAGAAAATGGAATTAGGGGACTGTAAAAGCCCCACTGAACTTCTACGTTCAACAGACGACGAACTCGGCAAAGATCTGGGCGCCCTACAGCTGAAGGGCGACGTGAAGATCAAGCTGAGTGGCGCTGCCAGAAAGAGGATGAAATTCCTCATCAAAAAAGGGATGAGTTCAGACGAAGCCCGCAAAAAAGCCCTTGAGCCAATCAAGGAAAGGGCTGAAACCTCTGACAAGGGCGAAAAAAGAGCCCGGTCAGAGGGAAACAACCCCGAGGCTCAAGAGAAAAAAAGAGCCAGGACAAGGGAAACGGGCAGAAATGCCCCGCCCATAAAAAAGAAGGAAACGAGCAGCAGTGCTCCGCCTTCTAGGGCTCCAAAACCAACCTTCAGCCAGATAGCTGCAGGCATAAAGGTAGGAATACTACCTGCAGACTTACCCAATTGCCTCTTGTCAGTGAAGCAACTACAAGCCACCAAAGAGGCAATCATGGACAAGATCGTGGACGAGGTAGCAACCAGTTGCCCAATCAAACCGAAGTTTCTAAGTGCCGACAACAGACCCGGCTGGCTCGCTCTAGTTTGCGAAAATATAGCCACCAAGCAGTGGCTCCAAACTACAGTCGCCTCCATCAAGCCTTGGGAGGGAGCTTCGCTAAAGATGGTAGAGGAATCTGACATTCCTCACTCTGACGTCCTGGTTGCTCAGTTCCCAAACAGCACAGATTACTCTACGGAGAAAATCTTGAATCTTGTTCAAGGCCAAAATGAGGGCCTAAACGTCAAAAACTGGCGAGTTATCAGACGTAACGCCGAGGGCGACCTGGTCGCACTAACCCTTTTTGTGGATAGTGCATCCGCAGAAAAACTTAAATCCGGAGGCTACGCGGTAAGTTACAGGTTCGGTCATACGACTATAAAACCGCAAGACAGCCGGAGCACAACAGTTGTGAAGCAATGTAGCAATTAAGCTACTTTGTAATTTTATTATTATTTTAAGTATGTATATTTTTTTTATATTTTAGGTGTTTTTAATTATAATCACCGGTATTGCTGTATACAGTGTGATTTTTTAAGTGTGCAACATATGGGAATTATTTTTAGTAATAGCACAACCCAAATACAAACAAGGCCAAAAGTTAGTGCAAGTCAAACAGCATACAGGGTAGCTCAAACAATATCAAAGCTGTACTGTAAAGTACCCTTATTTTAGAAATTTCAGCAAAATGTTATAGAGAAAAGTTGTTTGGAATTAAAAGTTATGCCTAAGTATCAAAACATAGCCTCCTAAGATTTTTTTTATTTTTTTTCGAAAAAAATCTATAATTTTTATATTTTTTTTATTTTTTATTTCCGCCCTTAATACTATCAAAAATTAATTAAAATTAAATCCATTTTAAATAACTTTGTTCAAATTCAAGCATATTTGTAAAATTAACTAAGATTTTTAATTTTTTATGGAATCACAAAATTCATGTTTGTTGCAATGATATTCAACACAACAAAATGTCGCAATTTTTTTTTTAACAAGTTAAAACATTACTAATGATAATAGCCATATTAAAAAAACTATCCTTAAAGTGCAAAAGTTTTATTTTATTCAAGTAAATATTACTACAATTTTGATATTTTTTGAGCTACCCTGTATGCTGTTTGACTTGCAACCATTCTAAGTGCAGCTAATATGATTATTAGACATGCACCAACTTTTAGCCTTGTTTGTATTTTGGTTGTGCTATTACTTAAAAAAAACCCATATGTTGCACACTTAAGTAATGACACTGTATATTAATTAGTGTATTGCATTTGAACCAAGTATACTTATTTCCATTTAAATTTAGGTTTAGAGTACTACTTTCATTCAGGTGGCACCAAACCATCTCTATTTATTGATTTTTGCCCAGCTCTATATCCTTTCGATTAAAACCGATGCTTCCGGTTGTTAACGCCACCTTTTTTGGCTAGCTTCATGCTGCAATTTTTTGAATTGCACTCGACCTTTATTTAGGACGAGGCACTCTTTCTCGGCGGCTTGTTCAAGCGAGTCGACGTCAGTGACGTTCTTTTGATTTTTGGCAAAAGTGCTGAGTTTTCTCAAAAGTTTCCTGAAGGGGTGAATCCCTCAAATTTTTCTCGGTGGTTCGGAGTGCCATTTATGGCTAGTTAAATAGATAGTTTATTCGTCCACTCGGGTATTTTCTGTAATTTTATTGGAACATGCCAGGTATGTGACTAACCCTTTTTTATCTTGAACCTTCCTTTAGTTTATGATTTTTGCTCCAGCCTATCTTGATCTGCATCTGGTGATGTCAGTGCCTGTATCGCATACCAAATCATGGTATAGGAACTCCTTGTCCAGGGTCTATCATGTACTTTGCGTCTTATTATAAACTTTAAGACAAGCTTTTTGTCTATTTCTCCTTTCTTTAAAATAAACAAGAGACAATCAGTAATTTAGTTTTCTGATAGGGTCCTCCTCCTACTTCTAATCTTGTAAGGAAAAATCGAGATTTAGGGCGATTTTTCCACACAAGCCCATCAGAAGGATGAAAATCTACAACGTCGGTATCAAGAAGATATATTGGCTTGAGTGTCGCAGATGGAAAATTATATTTAGGGTAACATAAGTAAAATTGAGTATTCCATATGTTATCCCCAGGAGCCACTCGTAAAAATACCTTCATCCTACTCAAAATCGATGTACTTTTCAACCCTCTTCGCGGCTTGTATACGAAAATGGGGCACCTAAATCTGTCACTATCTGACGGTCTATTACATAGGTGAGTAAAAGATATCTTGAAATGATTATTGAGCTGAAAATAAATAAACTCCTTCAAAAAAAAAAAAAACCTTTAAAATTTATCAGTTTTATTTACATTTATATCTAGGCAGAGATAATGGCTGTACAATGTTGTCACGTTAACATTTTTCTAAATTTAAATTCTGCGATAACTGCGCAAATACAATTGACCGATGGTTAATAGGATAGTTTTAGCTTGAAATGGGCCAGATTATCTCATGTTAAAATATTTGTACTCATATCTGATACACCCTGTATAATTCTAAGGGTGGCGCCCGAGTTTCACGAAAATTCCGAAACCAACCGCTTTCTTACCGGAAACCCAAAGTTACGCTACATTATACAAGGTGCCCGTTTTAAGTGATACCACTATTGCTATCTCCGAAACGGTATGAGTTACGTGGTCAGTTAAATTAGACAAAAGTAGCAGATTTTAGTGTCCGGTGAAGATAATTTCACAGGGTTGCCAAATTTTTGTTCGTTTCTGAGATATAAGGGAAAATGTAAAAAGTGCCTAACATTTATTTGAAGGGCTTATTGTAATAACGTGATATGCCACAAGTAAAAAGAAATGAGTTATTGAACTATGTAAAATTTACCACTTACAAATTTAAATCTGAAATATTTTTAATAAGTTAATTAGGTATCTTTCTAACTAACGTGTTTGAAAGGGGAACAAAAAAAAACAACTGGCTTGTCAAAAAAAAAAAAAATAATGTGGCTTATCATATTATTGCTTACAAGAAATAAGTAAAAGTTTTTATACGAAAGTAATAGGTATTATACTAAAAAATACTTAATAATGTCAACATCTTCTTCGTCATTTTCGATGGAGGTTAACCCGTTGAAAAAAGATGTATTGGAGGTATATACGGAAAAAGAGATTGCACGTTTTGTAGTTTCTTTGCTGAAATTTTTATTGGCTCTATGTACTTCTTTTTCAGCTCAGATAAAGGTGTATTCGCAGGCCTGTCCTTTTTTGAGATGTTGACTTCTTTATATTCGCCGTGTACAGAATGTTTGACAAAAAATGATTTTGTATTCTCGGCTTTAAAATGAAAGGAATACAATGGAAAAGTCTGAATTTTATTTGTTGGTAGTGCGAGCACTTTTTTGTATGTTGGCTTAAATAGGATCAAAACTGAAGAAATTATTTTGCTTCATAACTGTGACATTAAAGGAGTTCTTGCTATTTGCATCTTTAATGATTTTATGCCAACCTTCTGGAGAGTAAATTTCCGGAGCATACTTCCTGTGCCTCTTTTCTATTAATGCGAAGTCCCTATCTGAAGGTAAATGCGTATGACCGCTAACAAGGAACCGATGAGTTATTGTTTTAAACCTTTTCTCTTCAACTAGCTGTAGCCCAAATGCCATAAGTAGCCAATTTTTATTTTGGCCAGGACAGTTATTTGTGTATATAATAGGATGGTCCACCTCACTTTTACTCTTAAGAAATTTAAAAATAACAGAAGCAACTTCATCTGCTCCACGTTTAGCCTGGTTTTCTATCCATAAATACATGTAACCTTGGCCAGCTGTGCTGTCGTGTACTCCAAGGTTATAGAGCCACACTTTTCTACAATAAAATACAGGGCCAGTCGTAAGCTTGGGTATAGGCATTGCCTGTTGTAGATCAAAACTGATCACTCATACATTTTTGGTACTTTTAGATCGCTCCGTCTCCAATTTTAGCAAATCTTGCATTGCCTTAGCTTTACTTCTGTGTAAATTTATAGAAATTGTTAGCCGTTGCACCTCCACGTCGTCTTTGTTTGATCTCGCAGTATCAAGCTTAATATTTGCCTTGTTGCAGATTTTACAGGTGTGCAGACTTTGGCAGCTTAAAACCAATATTGTATTCACTGCAAAATATTTTGCGATAGGCACTCTCTTTTACAGGTTCGATGTTTTGTTGCTGACACCACGGAACATAGTACTCCTTATACAGGCCTGCAATCGACATATCGCAGTTAAGATAGGTTTCATTCATGTTATTGGCTCTACTATAATGACTCTGATATTTTGGTATTGCTTCAATATGATTTCTTACTGACTGTTCTTGGTCAGCGCTAAGTGTATTTGGTCGGTTTTCATGTTCACCACGCATGTCTTTTGTAGGAACCACAGCTCCGCTTGTCTTCATTTTGACAATATGGTCGATTCTTCCTCGAGAATTTTGAAGCCCATGAACATTCATAAACTCAACCATGCATATTTTCACATTCTCGCCATTTACATTTACAGTGTATTGAGCAGTAAATTGTCTGCTAGATTCTCGACGTTTTTATTTCTTCTTGTAGGACCTTTTCTTTTTTTCAATTCGAATACACCCAAAAAGATAGCTGTTTTGGAGATCATAAGACCCTAGATCCCAAAATTTTGAAAAAATCACTTGATTTTTGACTTCATTTCTCTTGCTACATCCTCCCACAACTTATCTAATATGTATCGGTTATGATGTTGGGTATCTTTTTGATTCCACCATGGATTTTTAACAAAAATACTACTAATTAATTGTTCAACGTCTATTTTTACATTGAAGACACAAACGAGCAAAGTAGAAAAATCAAAATTGCTTGAACGCGTCGCTTTGCTCGATATTAACAGCGCTGCTAAATCTCCGCACTGCTCTTCACTATGTGTCAAACAATTTAATCTCGTGTGTTAGTTTTCGCTGCTTTGCTCTCCTCACTGCTCACTACTTTGCTCGTCGCTCCACTATGTGCTTACCATTAGTTTAGTAGGAGCAGGTGAAACATGACCCTGAAATTAAAATAATAATATTAATTACAGCAATAACATGATAAGCCACGTTAAGCCAGGTTAAACTTTTTTTTGGTAAAACATGATATGCCACAAATTAAAAAAAAAATACCTTACCTCACTTGTATCTGAAGTTCCTTCATCATCTGATGGCACAAAGTTTTAATAAATCACACTATCATTACTTGACTCATAAAATTCATCACTAGAATCCGAACTATCACCTGAATTCGAATTTTTATCTAGCGGTGTAACAATACCGGTAGCCATTTTGCGGTGGCTTATCACGTTTTAAAGTAAAATTTATACGCAACAAGTTGATTTTAGGTAGGGTGGCGCCATCTGTGAGACACTAGCCAAATCACTCCTACTGTGGCTTGTCATATTAATGCATAATGAAAAGGAAGGCTAATATGAATTTCTGTATTTATGTGGCATATCATGTTATTAATGAGTTATTACAATAAGCCCTTCTTTGATAAATATTTCAATGTAAATGTTCATGTAAATTTTAAACGTGAAACTGGTAACAAACACTATTGTTAAGTGTTGCAAATGTTTCCCGTTGTTTCTCAAACAAAGTCTTGCAATTTTAATCACCCTCATTTTGACGTATTGCAGTATTCTGGGAGAAACTTTGCTACAGTCTAATTGAATTTTACGGTCTTTCAAGTAACCCCATATGGAAAAATCTAATGGTGAGAGGTCGGGTGAACGAGACGGCTAGTGTATGGAACTGTTATAACCAATCCAACGATTCCGGCGATGATAAGGTTTGAACTTATGATGACGCAGAATTTGCCGATGCTTTTACTACATTTGTCTCTTTTTCAATCTTGCGCAATGAAACATCTTCATTATTGCTGTTTTTGTAATTTACGTACCCTCCAAGATTTATTTTATTGTAAATTAAAATTATAAGCGAAATGTGAAAATCATACCTAGGACAAAGATCATATTAACTTTTTCATCGTTGCTAAACTCCATTCCAAGGCGAAACAAATAACCAAAAGAGGTGATTTGTCATAATTTTCTGTCATTGCAATAACGGGTGGTTTATTCGCAATATACACTACCGTTCATAGAGAAACAGCTTTCCAGAGAAGATTTGGTATCAATGTGTGGCATGAAATCCACTATTCCAAAGTAGTGTGTCCCTTCTTTTTCGGAGAGAATCTAAATTGTAGTCATGGCTAGAGAGTATTTCTACAAGATATCCAGTAACATATTAAAAATATCATAACTCGAACACTAGTGGAGCAAAATGGAGGAACTTTTATGCTCTCTAATTTTTCTATACTCATCTTTTTTCGTGAATGGCTCTGTTTTTGAGATAATACCAAAGAACGATTTTCACCCCACTTAGGGGTTGTTTAGGGGTGACAAGCAGGGCCGATTACCGGTGAGGTTCAGTGGTTTATTAAGGACCCTAATACAAACATATCGGGTGCCCACGAGATTACTTTCCGGCTGCCATTTTTTTATTTGTTCATCGATATCAACGAAACTTGGTAGGCTTGATATTCTAACGAAACGCCATTTTTGTGCATCCACGACAAGTTTTCCTGATTTCCGGTTTTACCGGAAATTACCGAAACTTTTGATTTTCAAATGGCACACCCTGTATATTTTTTGTTTTTTCGATTCTACAGATCGTTTTGCGTCCTAGTGTACCACTTTTAAATCGAGTTTTGTCCAAATTTCGTTTTCAAATTAAATTTTAAGTAAAAAAAATAAATAAAATTACCTACATAATAAATCAAAAATTTTTAAACGAAAATTAAGAAGAATGCCGTAGTTTATTATATCGTGGGATTCGCCTCAAAATACTGCATTTAGTGAAGATGTGAAAGTGATATGTTTCTATTCTAGTTCCTGAGCTAGGGCAAAAATACTGAAATAATGAAGTTTACAGCCCTCTATCAAAAAATTTTACAAAGATAAAATTGAGTTTGTATTTTTCTGAAATTAAGTAAAGTATGTAGAGTCATTTTAGGATGATCTTGGCACTCTAGTTAAAAAATTGAACTTTAATTAAAAAACAAAGTTTAGAAAAAAATCGATTCAAAAGTGGTGCATTAGGACGTAAAACGATTTGTTGAATCCGAAAAACAAAAAATATACAGGGTGTGCCATTTAAAAATCATAAGTTCCGGTCATTTCCGGTGAAACCGGAAGTCAGGAAAACTTGTCATAAATGCATAAAAATGGCGTTTGGTTGGCTACTAAGTTTCGTTGATATCGATAGATAAATAAAAAATGGCAGCCGGAAAGTGATCTCGTGGGCACCTGGTATACCAAGTTTCAACTTGCCTCTAATTTGTTTATGGTTTCTTATATAAACCATTAGATCGAACCTGGGCTATAAATTATGACGTTCAATTTTATATGAAGTCGCCATCTCACTCTCAGAGGACGCTGGTCTAGATAGCAATTGATCATCATTCAAAGCGCAGGGAACATATATCAGTGATGACATGTACCTGCCGTCGTCGCGCCTATGCTTTACGATAGGTTTTATTGTCCTAACCCTCGATTTGTGCTATCAATTGCCAACTGCAATGAAATAGACTTTAACATAGACCGAAAATAACAAGAACGCACAAACTAAAGACTAAAATGATTTATCGCTTCAGAGTACACTTTTTTTCACAGCTGCTAATTAAAATATTGAAGTGCAATGGCCTCACGCTTTGCCATTCCTTCCGCAAGTAAAAGATTTACTCTATCAACAACGCGTAAATTTGCCAATTGCTCATCAAAATTATTAATATTGTCCTCCGGTGCTACAGGTTCTTCATATAGAGGCACATTATTTTTAATGCACAGAGTATCTATGTAATACAGCACAAGTATTAATAATTTTTGACGACGTTATTGGGTCGTAGTGTAGAGATTTAAAAATTCCATTACACCTCTCAACTGTACTCCTTGCAGATGTATGGCCCTATTGAATCTAAATTATGGTGTGTCCTCTTCAGGCTTATGGTACTGAGTCTTCATCCAGGGTCTAACCACAGAACCGGAATCACCTAAAATATAGGTATGACAAAAGTTAAGTTCCTATAGATTATAGAATGTATAAATGTGTAGTTTCCATGATTACAAAATAAAAGAGTTGAAACATAAATGGTCTAAATTATAAGGTTACCAGCAGAGTGCTGTTATGTGAATTGGCTTCAAGCTTTTCCAAAAAATAACTTCAACTTTTTCAAAGTTTCCAGGTGAAGGATAGCATGTCTTGTTCTGGAAACAGGAGACATACTTACCTAACAAATGGTATCCTCTAAAATTCCTTCGATGCAGGGTTTCAAAATAGTTAGGAACCATACTGTTGTTGTAGGCAAACCGGTCATGTGTCGACCCTGGGAACCTTGCATTCATATTTAAAATGCTTGTATTAATATCACATATCTAAGACAAATCCAAAAGGGCGTAAGCAACCTAAAAACTTACAAAATTTATTTTCTGATTTTCTTCTGATTCAAATTACCCGCATGAGTTAGTTACACTGATATGGCATATCACTTAGCAAAACTTGTTAACCTATGCTATTAGCAAGGAATTTCCTATATTATTAGAATATTGTTGTGTTGTCTATCAAAAAGCAAAATTGAGATTTTTATTTAACAATGGAATATATCAGTATCCACCTACCTACTTTCTTATTATTAAAAATAGTAAGAAGGTTCTTACCAACTGAACATTTATCGAGTGATACCCCTTTTGGTTAACATGCACATGTTCAGGGTGCATGTTTATGGTATTCAATGGGTGCTACGTGGGTGCAATCAAAGCATCCCATATTTTGGAAAGAACCTAAAAAAAAAACATTGAAATCAAATTGAAAACAATCCTATCCTTTATTGAATACTCCATATGGACTAAGTCATGGACCTAATATTAAAGCAAGTAGACTAAATGATATTAGATCCATGACAAAATGAATGCGCAAAAAAATTTCACAACAAAACAAGCTAGGATCTGGATATTTCTCTTCTTAGTCTTTCAAAGGACATGCATGATCTCTACAACTCTGCGCTCTATCATACACAGGTATTTAATTGCGTCACGAACTTCAGGAAGTACAGTTAAAATTTAGTTTCGTTGTATTTCCTGGTGAATATTTTTGCTTTAGGAATGAGGACCCTTCAAACTAGTCTCGTCTTTCAATAGATTTCAGACTTTTTGTCTTGATCTCAATTGACAAGGCTGCAAAAATGATAATTCTGAAAATATGTTCACTGCGTTTAGACCGAGAATACAATACAAATATAACAAAGTTCTAAAATTTCCAAAATTCAAATAATCACCAAAAAAATAAACGAAACCAAATTTCAACTTTACTCCTTGTAGGGCTCATGCCTCATAACTGCGTTG